ATTTTACACATCTGTTGATTCATAAAATACCGTTTTATCATTTATTGAACTTTAATACTGTGATAGGAAATAGGGTGAGGGGTCCTTACTTGCTTCGGGTTTCGAATACGGCTCTACAGTGCGCCTACAGGCTGTTCCTAATTTTCCCTGAATTTTTTTCGGGGAACTGAAACGCACTACTGGTACCTGCACGTGTCCCAAAAAATCCCAAATTAGACCCAGGGCCCCTTTCGGCCAATATCGCAATTCCGACACGGCGGCTCCGATTCGCCTCGGGTTGGCCGTTTTCGGCCGTTTTCGGCCGAATTCAGCCACACTTGCATCGGTCCCCATGATAAAACAACCCTATGGCCCTCGGGGGGCCAAAAAATTACGAAAAATCGAAGCTTACCGGCGGCGGTGCTCTCGGGTGCGGTGGCTCTCCGGCGAGGTTCGTGTTTTGGTGATTTAGCTCTGATCAACCTGTAGAGAAAAGAATGGTGATCACGGTGATATAAAAATTGTATCAAACGGAGGCCAGGAAGGGCCTCATCGGAGGCAAAAACCGAGGAGGGGCGCGGTGGTGCCGTTGGGTTTCGGCTATGTTTTTCGGCCGTTTGGCCGGGATTTTGGCTCCGATTTGACCACAGGGGAACTCAGCATTGAAAAACGAGCCGGGAGTATGAAATTTACCTCGACCGGCGGTCGAAAAACTCCCCGGTGCGGCGGCGGGTGGCGGCGGCCGGCTCCTCCATCGTCTGGTTCGTCTTCTCCTGCGAGGGCAGGCGGCTAGGGTTTTTGTGGTCAGGTGTGGGGGTTTTATTTATACCCTTTTGCCTTTTGATCACAGCCGTCCATTTTGATTAAATCTGGGCCGTCCGTGCACGTGCATCTGGGTCGTCCGTGCGCTTGCATCTGGGCCGTCCGTGCGCACGCTTGATCTGGGCTGTCCGTGCGCGTGGGGACGCATCTGGGCCGTCCGATCGCGCGCACGCGAATCGCCCGCGTGGCCCGTTCCCGGGTCAACGTGGTCTTGCCACGCGGCAGGTCCTGGTTGGCCAGGGCTGCTGACGTGGCGCTGACGGGGCGCAATTTTTTAAATTGAGTTTTGACCACCGGTTTCCGATTTTCTTTTCAAAAATACCCCCAGAATCCAAATTTTCACTCCTTTTTCCCAAAATCAATTTCAATTAAATCCAAATAATATTTTTACCCAATTTTATCATTATTATTATTATTATTTTTATTAAAAAAAATTAAATAAAATAAATCAATTAAAATAATAAAATAATAAAATAAACTAAATAAAATTAATAATAATAATAATAATAATAATAATAATAATAATAAAATAAAAAAAATTAGTGGGCGTTACATATATGGTTAACTAAAAATTATACATAATAATATACACATATTTTAGAATTTATAACCAATTAAAAACTAAAATTTACTTTATATCTAAAAATGTAAATAAACAATTATTATATATATTATTCCATTAATCTTATTTATAACTAAAATTTATTTAATGCATAATTTACAGTTAACCAAAAATTAAGTTATAAATTTCAAATAAATAATTTATGAGTTAAAAATATATTATTTCTTTAAATAAAAAATTATTTTACAAAATAAAAATTAACACGTAACAATCTCAGTTTTAATTTCATATATGTAATTAATCTGGAGTTGTCCATGAATCTGGTTGGTTCCTTAAATAGAAAATCCAGCTGAGTGTCAAACCAAATGTACTCATTAATCTGCTTAATTTTCTTAAAAAAGAAATATATATATATGTCTAAATAAAATAAATGCTAGGTATTTTTCCAAATATTATTTTTGAAACACAAAAAATAAAAAGAAATATATTATTATTTACCATCTTTCTAAATAATAAAATTAAAATTAAGAGAAGGGTTGTAAAAGCCCAAAGCTCCTAACAAGAATTTCAAGATTTTTAATCCAATCATGATAATGATAATAATTATTATTATTATAATAATATCGAAGTCCTTTATTTAGTGAAAGAATTAACTGTTCGAAGATTATATTTCTTCCACGTTTACTTAAAATGTCCAAATAAAGGTTAGAAGAATGTTTTGAAACTAGAAATGAGAAAGAAAAAGTAACAGTAAATATTATTAACCTCTATTTAAAAATGACGAAATGGAAGAGGTAATTGTTTAGTTGGTCTTTTACTGTTCAGGATTCGGGTTTTGGTATTTTTGAAATGAAATAGTTAATAAGGAATGAGTGAGTTATACTAACTCAGTAAAAATATCAACGTTTTACCACTAACACAGAAAATCAAAGAATTGTAGGAAATAAAAAAATAACCAATGGAGCATACTTTTAATAAAACCAGAATGTTAGTACATTCATTACTCGTTTCACAGAAAATATTACTATTTTCTACCATAACATGTAACTTCTCGAGTGTTATACATCAGAATAACAATTTAATTACAAATAGTATACATTTCAATAGTTATATAACGTTTGACTCTTCACTATTGCCCAAAGTCGTATTCCTTACCATGCCCATCGCTACTCTATCATTTTACTTTTCCTTATCAATATCGTTGGGGGTCCATAAGGATCCCGCTACACGTAGATATATACACTTTCTTTATAATTCAATCGGTCGTCCCCGTACTCCGTCCAGTAATGGGCGTCACAACTAAAAATCGTCTCAATATCCTATCTGGTATGAACGAAATTTATAAACTCCAACCTCATTTGATATGGGACTTGCCAGCCTCATACGACTGAGGATAACATCCACAGTAGGATTCACTCTATGTATCAAGTCTATACATTCTTTCCCATGACACCCGGTAAGCTCTCTTATTCAATGATATTAGTTTACGCATGCGTATTTTTCATGTAGACCCATACTTCAAAAAATACAACAAAGTAAAACTCATGTTTTGAAATTGTTAAGGAAATAAATCATTAAATAAAAGTGAATTAAAATATCATAATAGGATAAAAGCACAACACATCACAATAACATGAACAATAAAATGAAACAATAACTCAATGTGAGATTTTAACAAACAGAAAGTGAAAATGAAATGCAGATAAAATTAATTAAAATGAAATATAAATAAGCAATTAAAATCAAATAAAAATAGAGGAAAAAATAACATATAGGTAACACAATAAACTAGAGATGAATATGGACAGGTCAATTACTGCCTCAATCGGTAACTTGTATTTAATTAATCAAAGAATAATCAAAGTGTCTATAATTTTTCGTTTATTATTGATTTAGCTTTAATTTAACCGTAACAGAAAAAAATAGTGAGATATTCTTACACTAGGTCGATATCTAGAACATCGTCTTTTTTAACTAAAGCTCTCAACGGTTCTTGATTCTTGAATTTCTTGGGTTTTTTTAGTAAAATTTGAAAACATACATCAAAATGACGTGAAAATACGCAAAAAATAGCGGAAAAGGCAAAAAAAAAAAAAAACTCACCGGGGGTCAGGTTGGGATTCTAGCGCGGTGGTGCTGCCACCAAACTCCGCCGCTTAATCCTCATTCTCTAGCGCTTCTCCCTCTCGGCCGAACTGATTATGGGCGATTCCTGGTGAAAATTTATTTAAATCGTGGTTAGGGAGTATTATTCGAAGAGGGGAAGGGAAAAATTTGGTCTTACCAGCGGTTTTGTTTCTCTGACACGGTGGTGTCGGCGTCTCTCCAGTGGTTGAGATCTCATCCGACCGCCCTTCTTTTTCTTTTTCAATGAGTGTTGACTAGGGTTTGGGGCAACTGAAGAAAGGCATGGAGGCGTGGAGGCACGTAGACTGTTTGATCGCACCTATTTAGGAAACTCATCTAGGCCATTCGATTGGAGGCACGCAGGCCGTCCAATCGAGCCTGTTTAGGAAGTCAATATGGGCCATTCACGCGTGCGACAGTGGCCTCAAATCGTTCGATCGGTCTGACACGCGGATTGCCAACGTTGGCTTCCTGCGTGGAGCCCGTGTTGGCGTGGTCACCACACGACGTGCAGCGATTCGTCATCCTGCTAACTGGGCATCCACGTGGCCCGTTTCTTCTCTTTTCGCAAATTGACCCATTCTTTATGAATATCTTTTCAAATAAATGCTCTCTTATTTTCAGTTTGAACATATTTTCTAAAATTTATTTTTAAAGATGCCAAAAATGCATAATAATAATTAAAATTAAAAACGTAGACATTATTATTATTTAAAAAAATTAAAATTCATCTTTCCGAAATTAATGTTTGAACTTAAGATGTTACAAGGGTTGTAAATTTATAACAACAAGTGTTTAAAATAAATATTAAAAAATTAAATTAGATTTGTTTAAAAAAATTTGTAAGCAAAGATATTTAATATTTAATTTTATATTTAATAATATTTAATATTGACAAAACTTGTCGTTGTAAATTCTAATTGGTTACTAAATAGACTTAAATATTTAATTAATATAGTGACCCATGAACCGACCTACCTACATCAAGTACTTCTCACACATGACGATAATAAATACTCATAAGTCACAACCAAACATATAAATTATACAAAGATATTTTATTTATATTTATAAATTATTAAATATTAAATTTTATATTTACTTTTAAAATATCATCTATTTTTTTAAGAAAGAAAAAAGGTTGTAATTGCATTTTTTATACTAATCTCTTTTTGTGAATAATTTGAGATTAGGTTGGAACTCTAGAAATTAGAGTCCTTATAAGCTTATTAAAAAGAAAATATTCACACAACTCTAAAAATATTTAAAATGATGGTAGAATATTAAATCATTAGATTGGCACAAGTTTAATTCATATCTTAATTAAACGAATGATAAAGAATGCATTATTTTCTCATTATATCTAAACATTATTGTAGTAATAATAATAATAATAATAATAATAATATATTCATTACTGTTTTTTTTAACCAATACAATTCCAAGTTTATGCAAGTAAAAATGATAAGGGAAAGGAAATCAAATACTAAATCCTTTATTCTTCTGCTTCTTCTTCTCTTTTGGCAAGTTGTTTTTCTTGCTTGTTCTTTTTTTTTTTTTAATGTTTTCTTTCATTCTACTCTCAATTTGAACTCACTTTTACATCAACACGCATGTAAACTATACACACACATTGATGTTCATGTGTTTCTTCTTGGAAATGCACATAGATTGAGGCCTCCATTAATATGAAGTGTAAACATGGTCTTGTAAGTGACTCTTCGATCTTCATCAGCCAGTTTAAAGCGAAAAAAGCGAATAAGAGCCATGGATACAATCTTCATCTGTCGATAGGCAAAATCTTTTCCAAGACAGATTCGAGGACCAGCCTGTAAATATATAGGCAGTTCCTTGCATTAGATATTATGCCAAAGTAGTCAAACTTAATTGTAAAAAATAATGATCTCATAATTTAGTAATTTTGTCTCAATTCCTTACAAATAATTTTAACCTTATTGATTATTTTTTTATCATTCATTAACCTCCTTATCACAGTATTCTCCACCCATGTAATGACTGGTAAGAGATCTATGAGACGTACGTGAAAGCTTACAAATTTGAATGGCGATTCAGGTTGGAAAATTCCATTGTTGAGCCATCTCTCAGGCCGAAATTCCACTGCGTCTTCTCCCCAAATATAAGGCATCCTGCCCATTGCATAGGCCGTGTAATATACCCCATCTCCTTTCTTCAATCTATAGCCATCTGGAAGAATATCATCTACCTTGGCAGATCTCCCATCCTTCAATAGTATAAAAAACTACATCGTATTGATATCTCTCAACTTAAGTAAGTCTTGGATTTTCTTTACTTTTTTAAATTGTTAAGATATTTTTGTTTTCAACTTTTTTGCCTAAAAAATTTAATTCAACAAAAGACAAGTCAACCACCTTATCATTAATAATTCAAAAAAAAAATTTAATAACTTTATTATTAAAAAGAATTAGATTCGAACATAACATGTTTGTCAGTAAATTAACCATTTCTTTATAGTTAAATTTTATAATATAGTATGTAGAAAAATATAACTAAGAAAGTAACTACCTAATTAATAACTAATACCTAATAAGTTTAAAGTTTTCTAAGTTGACTTACCACAGGAACTGCAGGGTATAGCCTCAAGGTCTCTGTCAAAGCTGCATGAAGATAATGCATTTGCTCCAAAGTTTGATCAGTTATACTTCCCACAAAATCATCAATATCAGTCTCATCTTCTTTGTTTCCACCAATTCTTTCTACTTCTTGAGCAATTTTTTCTTGAACCAAAGGGTTCTTGCAAAGAAGGTAGAAGAACCAAGATAGAGTGCCAGCACTAGTGTCTTTACCCGCAAACATAAAATTCAAAATGATATCCCTTAGATATTTATCATTGATTATCTTTGGATTCTTCTCACTCTCTATCAGAAATCTTGAAAGTATGTCTTCCTTGACCAGCTTGAATCACAAAAAAACGTTTTATTTACAAAATATTACATTATAATAAAATGCAAATAATTAACCGCAATTTTTTTTAAAAATATTTTCTTGTTGGCTTTGAAAAAAAAAAAGGCAGAATTGACTCACATGGTCTCCTCGAAGTGCAAGCAATTTTCTTTTGTAGGTTATGAGTTTATACAGAAAATCATCCAACACTTTGATTTTTTTCTTAAGTGTGGCTTCGAAGCCAATATTCATAAATCTTTTGAGCCTCCAGAATGGATCAACATACCGCCAGTACACCAAGGCATTTGAATCATCAAAAGCTTTCATAAATTCAATCCCATCTTCGCTTGATCCATCCATGCAATTCAATTCCACCCCAAATCCAACTTTGAAAATTGAATTCAGAGTGAATCTCATCAGTATGTCCTGCCAGAAATAGAAGATTAGTTGTTAAACTCTAATTTTGTCAACTGTGGAAGATAAAATCTTCAACGCAATTCTTGAATGCATATTGACTAAATTGTTCTAAAATATAAAAAATTGAGCAAGCATATTAAAGTAGAAAATTAGACATAAAAAAAATTTTGTTGGATAAACTTATATTTATTATAAAATTTTTTTAAACTACTACGATATATTTCTATCTAAAACATTAAACCGAATGCATGAATTCAAAAGCTCATTTTGTTGACTTATTTTTCTGCATTAGAAAACTCTTAAAAATATTTAATTTTATAAAGTTAACTATTATTCAATTATGTGGATAAACGAGTAAATGCAAATTTTTTTTACAACTGTCAAAATAAAAATCTTATTTTAATAAATTTAGAGCTAAAAGTTATAATACATAGTTTTTAAAAATAGTTTTGATTTCTACAAAATTTTGCAGTTAAAATTTCAAATTTTAATTTCACCATAAGCCTAACTTCTATTTTATTTTTTAATCACCAGTACTTTTATCAAATATTAAACAACTTTTAACTAAAACAGTATTTATTGATAATTATTTTAAAAATATTTTTAAAACTCACATTATAAAGTTCAACGAATTTAAATACTCACTTATTTATAAAAATACGAGATTCTAAACCATATATCTTAAAAAAATAATAATAAATATATAAATCAAATAGCAATTATATGAAAAATTCGTCAGAATTTTAAATTATGATCAATTTTAGTCATTGCAGACTTAATTCATAAAACGATGTCGTACATGTCCCTTACCTGCGCATCAAAGTCCCGGCCAGCAACAGCAAACTCCATAATTGTTCTAACAAGCTCAGCAGCATTACTTCGAAACACAGAACAACTATAATCCCTGACAACTCTTGTAGAGAACTCAAAGCTTGCCAGCTTCCTTTGCTGTTTCCACTTTTCGCCATCAGCGGCAAAGATTCCTTCTCCGAGAAGATCACTTACAACATCTAGATTACTTATACCCTTCGAGTATTTCTCAAACCTTGATTTCAGTACGTGCTCTATATTCCGAATATCGGCCGTGTAAATTTCGCTATGTGTCGGGGTTAGTAGTCTGTAAGTTGGCTGTTTCTTGGCGATCTGGGTTTGGTAGTCGTAGAGTCTGTTGAAGTAGAACAACTGACTGAATACGGTGCCGTTTACGGGCGGGTAGTCTGGGCTGGTTATGGATTTTCCTGTGAAGATTCTGAGGAGGAGATAGAGGAAAACGATAAAGAAAAGGAGTAGGGAGGATGCTATGATGGTGACGATGATGGAGCAAACCATATTCATTTTCTTCTTCTTAGTTCTATGATGATTTTCGAAATGTTGAAGTGGGTTTTATGAATGTTTCTTGCTTGTTGCTTGCCGTTTTGTAGTGCCAAGTTGGTGTTTAAGGATAAAAGGTAAAGTCAAAAAGTCAAAGATTCTTACGTCAGTAGCAAAAATGATCTTCTTGTTTATATATTTGTTTAAATGAGATTAGTGGTTTAATTTGTTTCTACGTGGTTATTGATGATGATCACAAATGTTATTAATGTTGGTTCAAATCTCATTTAATTTAATTTAATTTAATTTTAATTAATTTTTAATTTAAAATTTATATTACTTTGGTGTGTGTATATAAAATTAAAAATAATTTTTATTTTTTAATTGCAGGAGATGGACTGTGAAGATTACCAATATCAAGTGGTAAATTAACAAATATGGAATCAAACAAAAATCATCAAAACAATTTCATATCCACACAAAAATTCAAATAGTACAGTCCAACAAACACCACAAGACCATGGAGCACATGTGACGAGATTACCAATAGGACACTAAAGAAAGAATTTGTCTACACTTCTTATGTGGTCCACACGAAATTAATTCATTTCTTTCAAAATTGTGTCTGTAAATTCCTAATGAATAATATTTTTGTATATGTAAGGTATATAAATTATACATATATATATTTAAGCATACATATTTTCTTTCATAATTTAATGTATTTATTACCAATTAATTACATAAATAAATAAATATGATTTCATATATTGACAATACAAAAACTATCCTCTTTATTTTCATATATAACATATAAATAATATAAGAAAACACTTTATTTACCTAAGGATAAAGCTCAAGAAAATATTTTCATTTCCAGTCAAAGTAATCAACAGATAATATGTATATATATATATATATACACACTTTATAAATAGATGACATACCATGTAACGGTTCCGAAAATTTAAATGGAATCTACGTATTAAAAATCTCAAATGCGGAAGCGTAATAAAAATTTTGATTAACATCTTTTATACAATAACCAAAACGTACTCAAAACATGAAGGAACAAACTAACTAAAAGAGATACTCGAAATAAAAACTATAAATATAACTATAAAGTCTTTAGGCGTCCCCTTCGCCGTCTTCCTGCAGAACAGGGTCGGGAACAATGTCTTCCTGATCTGAAATGGTTAAATAAGGGATGAGTTACACCAGCCCAATAAAGACATCACACTATCTCACCGCCACGGAAGTAAAGGTGGGTAGAAAACAAAAATGACCAATGGAACATAATTTATAACGAACTCGTTTATTAACATAAAAACCTT